ACAAACCCAAATCCATCAACCACAAACCCAAATCCATGAGAACCATGAACCCAAATCAATCAACCACAACCCCAAATCCACGAGAACCCAAACCAAATCCACGAGAACCACAAACCCAAATCCACGAGAACTACAAACCCAAATCCATCAACCACAAACCCAAATCCATCAAAACCCAAATCCATCAACCCCAAACCCACCAACCAGATCCATCCATGCTGCCTCCCCCTGAGCTTTTTGGGTTGCTGGGCCATGAGAAAAACTTGAAATAATCCCTGAGAATTCGGAATTATTGTCTCTGCAGGTCTCCCACAGCTTCCCTCCCCCTCGTCGTGCAGCTTGCGAACGGCCAGACCATGCCTGTGCTCCCTGGCCCCCCCGTGCAGATGCCTTCTGTCATTTCGGTGAGAAAAACTTCCAGCACAGCTCCACGAGCAGAGGAGACTTCAGGCCTTGCCCCTGCCAAACACACACTTGCATTTTGGAAACATTAAAATCTCTCTTCCCCCCTCCCCTGCGTGAGATAAGGCTGGAAGGGGAGAAAGAGAGAGAAGAGGGAGGAGGGGGAAGAGGAGGAGGGAAAAGCTCTGGCAGGGCAGTAATAAAGTGTGGATCACACTAGAGGGCAATAAGTTTGGAAACAACTAAATGCATGCCCAGCCAGATGGCTCACACACCATCGATCCAGGCCTGGGAGCTGCAGGATCCCTGATTAGCTGCTTCCATTTGGAACATTTTGGAGCTGCACTGAAAAACCATCGGAGCTTGCAGGGAACATGTTGGGATGTGCTGGCCAGAAAAACCACCTGGGAGCTGGGGGGAGTGGGAGATACCAGTTTAGAGTTGGGATTTTGCTCATGGACGATGTTCCATAGGGGATAACTCACTGCACATGTTCCTAGTAGGTGTTGTGTGTGTCCTTAAAGCATTCCAGCTCCCAGTTCCCAGCCCTGGGAATTCTGGCTCTCTGCAAGGCATGTCCTTGGGGTTTTGAGCAAGCAAAAAAGGCCAAATCTTTCTTTCTTAGGTCTAGGAATGTTGGTTCAGAGCAGCTCAGCATGACCTGTGGGCATGGAAGCATCTTCACCCCTTCCCTCCCACTTTGCTGTGCTTTGCAGCCTGAGGAGCTTATAAACATGTCCAAACTCTGGTTTTTCCCCACTTTGGTGGGGGGAAAACCCACTTTGATGGGGGGAAAACCTCAGGTGAAGCTGCTGTGACCTCCCCTTGGTGCTGTGGTAACTTTGCAAGAGAAGCAGAGAGGATTTGGTACCTTCCCTCTCATCCAGCACCTGGACTGGTGGGGAAAAAAAGGCCCTGGGAGGGAAGGGAAGGAGCTGCCTCCCTGTGCTCCATGCTGAGTGATTCC